TCTGTTAAAAATACAGCCCCTTTAATTTCATTTCACCCATTTGTTCTAATACAGTAAAACAGGCTATTTTAGGAGGCTGTTACATAATACATATTACAAAGGTCTTGACCCAAAATGGTTAAAATAGAATTTGGAGATGAATGATTGATAAAGTGCTAGCTAGCTTTGTGGAAAATTTTGTTATCTAGAGTAATCCTTTGAAAGATTAAAATAGTCTTAGTAGTATATAAAACTGTTTTGTATGATGTATATTCAGTTAAAACCAGTTTTCTAATCTGTGCTCATAAAAATGTAATAGTTTGCTTGTAAAACTTTGAATTTCGAAGTGTAAGCCTCTCAAATGACTGGGAAAGTTTTGGAGAGACGTTTGTTACTGAAAGATCAATAGGTCCAGTAGCTGACTCTGAGAGTTTAGGGTCTCCAGTATATTTCTGCTCTTCTCCAGGGGAGTCTGCCCTCCCTGGCCCACATCCGACCAGGCAGTCACCTAGTAACATTCGTAGGGTGTCTCTACATCATGTGTTAACAGATGGATACTTTCCAGGGCATTTTCACTAGCCCTCTTCCCCTTAGCTGCCCATCAGTTGGCATTCCTACCATGTAGGCATATGCTACTACTTTCTCAGAGGCTCTTTCATGTAATACTCAGTCCAGAGTGTAGAGGTGAAGGGAGGAGTATTATCCGGAAAGACAAAAGGTGATATTAGCTACAAATGATGAGGTAAGATGAGAGGGAAACGAGATATGAATGGTTGTGTGCTATACAGATTCATTTAATTTTAATATACTGAGTGCCGCTGTCATTTTGAATTAGGTGAGCAGGCCTTTCTGAAGTCTTTTAACTCTTGTCATTGTGCATGTGTATGGTAATAGCCGTTAACCTATATGCTGAAAGCAAGAGTAGCAGTCCTACTTAAGCTCTTTTGAAATCCCACCCACTGCCATGCATTTAGTTTGGACTCACAGCCACTACATGGGACAGACTAGAACTGGTCTTTTGGGTTTCTAGAAACTAAATCTTTACGGAGACAATCACATTTTTCTTGCACAGAACAACCGGTGGATTTGAACCTCTGAACCCAACCCTTAACTGAGTCCTTTCTCTAAATTGAGGAACTGAAGAAGTTCCCTGTAAATAAAATCAGTAATGGAAGAAAATCATAAATTTCATAAAGGACTTTTATTTAGAGTATAGGAGTCCCTGGGTAGTACAAATATTTAAGCACTAGAATAATAGCTGAAAGGTTGGTGGTTCAAACCCACTTAGAGGTAGGTACCTCAGAAGACAGACGTGGCAATTAACTTCTGGTTGGTCAGCCTTAAAATCCCTTATGGAACAGTTCTACTCTGGACACTTGGGTCTGACATGAGTTGGAACCACTAGCCCATAGGTCCCCAAACTGATTTGGCCTACTGCCCCCTTTTTAGGGGGGAACAGATTACCCAGTGTCCCCCTGACATTACAGACTTTTGTACGATAGCCTATAATTCAGGATAAAGTATAGGTATCTGCTTTGGCAGCCCCCCTGGATCACCCACTTTGAGAAGCAATGGACTAGATGGGAAATACAATAACATCCAGAATATAAAAAGAGTTCTGACAACTCAGTAATAAAAAGTCAACTCAATAAAGAAATGGAAAAGGGATCCTAGCAAACATTTCTCCAAACAATACATATATATATTTGACCATAATAACACACATAAAAAGATAGTCATCATTAAGTGTGATGGCAGTGGTTCTCAACCTTCCTAATGCCGTGACCCTTTCATACAGTTCCTCATGTTGTGGTAACCCCCCCAACCATAAAATGATTTGTGTTGCTACTTCTTCACTGTTATTTTGCTACTGTTATGAATTGGGCAACCCTTGTGAAAGGGTTGTCTGACCCCACCAACGTGGTCTCGACCCACAGGTTGAGAACTGCTGTGTTAGGGAAATAAAAATCCAGACCACAGTGAGATACCACTTCAACACATACTTTTGCTGTGTGGAAAAGACAAGCATGGTCAAGGTTGTGGGGAAATTAGAACCTATATGCTGCTGGAAGGAATGTAAAATGTTGCAGCTACTTGGGAAACCGGCCTGTCACAGCTTCACAATGTTCCACAGAGATTGACCATATGACCCAGCAGTGTGACTGCGATGTGTGTATGTATGTGTGTTTCTTTCTCATAGAAATGTAAACAAGATGTCTGCACAACTTGCATACAAATGTTCTTAGCAGCATTCTTTATAATAGCCAAAAATAGAAACTACTTAAATGCCCACCAACTGATGCTTGGAGAAACAAAATATGGACTATCCATACAATGAAATATTATTCTGCCACAAAAAGAAATTAAGTGCTGATACATCCTACAACATGGATGAGCCTTCAAAATCATGCTACGTGGAAAGATCACATATTATATGAAATGTTCAAAAAAGCCCAGTCTGTCTTGACAAAGTAGATTAGTGGTTACAGTGGTGCTGTCTGGTAAACAGCTGGACCGCTTAGTGTTCAAAAATGAGGCTCTCTGTCCCCTTAAGATTTTATAATCTTAGAGTCACTTTGAGTCAGAATTGAGTCCATGGTTGTGGGTTGGGTTTGGGCTAAGGGTTTTAGAGGATGACCACTCATGGGTTTCATTTTGAGTGATAAAGTGTTCTAAAACTGATTATCATGGCAGCAGAACTCTGATCACACTAAAGACTATTGAATTCTACACTTTGATAGGTGGATTGCATGATAGGCGAATTATCTTTCAGAAAGCTGATTTAAAAAAAAATCCCTAATGGAACTGGAAAGGGCCTCTTAACCATATTAGAACGTTCACCAGTCCCCTTGCTCAGGTAGCTTTCTGACTAAAACTCCCAAAACAAACGGAGTGTCCAGTATATGTTTGATTGTTTCCGTAACTCATTTGATACCACAATTTCAGGGATTCTATGGGTTTTTATTATTACTCTTTTGAGAAGTTTTCTTACGGTTTTGAAAAAACAAAACAAAACATTTTTCCATTTTAAGTCTCTTTTAATAGACTTTTGTCAGTATTTGGGGCCATTATAGTTTTGTGTGGTTCTAGTCCTTAACAGCCAATGATTTTCAAGGGATAGATTTAAAACTTACTCTAAAATATATTGGATAAGATGGTGTTAATATTATTCTTTATGTTGCTTCTGTGTAAAGGGTCTTTATTAATATCCATGTACCTGAACAATTTACAGTTTGATAAAGAGAGGTACAGCTAAGAGTTAATAAGTCTAATTATTAGTTGCTTGAAATTGGCTTCAACTCTTAGCAACAGAATGAAAGCTTGTGTCGTCCTGCACCACCTTCATGTTTGCTGCTCCATTTGAATCGGTTGTGGCAGCTATTGTGTAGTACCTTCTAACCTAGGGTACTTATCTTCTGACATTAAATTGAACAATACTTTGTTGTGATCATTAAAGGTTTTCTTCTTTTAAATTTTGTATTTTTAATTTGTTAAAAATATAAATAATGAACTACATGACATTTTAATCTTTAATAAGTGTTCATTATATTGCTCAACTCTCAGCACTTCAAATCCATAAGATTTTCATTGATTAATTTTCAGAAGTAGGTTGCCAGGCTTTTCTTTCTACTCTGTCTTAGTCAGATATTCTGCTGAAAGCTGTCCACTGGTGGTGACCCTGCTGATATTTGAAATGCCGCTGGCAGGGCTTGTAGCATCAAAGTAACATGCAAGTAAGCATAGGATGACAAACTGACAGATGAAGATTAGCTGTGTCTAATAGAGCATTACAACGGTCACTTTACATCTGGCTTGTTGGTATTAGTACTTAAGTGGTATCTTATTTGGTCTTGTAAGTTTATTTTGAGTGCTACTATAAGTGAGTGGACTTGTAGTTGGTCTTGCCTTGTATGTTGACCTCAGGTTAATACCTGCTGCTGCTGTTGATTTAACTGCCCAAAGAACTCACCCAAGTATTTTCTGTAAGGTTAGTCTTCTTTTACAAATTCCTTTCATTTATCCTTATCAGGAAATGCCCTTATTTCTTCCTTATATTTGCAGGTCAATTTTGCTGGATATAAGATTCTTGGTTGACAATTCCACCTCTTCCCCCACTCCCCCAGAGTTTTATATGTATCATTTCATTAATACTTTGCCTGCATGACATCTGCTGAGAAATCAGAGCTTAGTCTTATTGGTTCCTCTTTGTAGAAAAACATTTATTTTCTTCCCCTTTTTTTGAGTGGCTCTTGGTATTCTTTTCTTTGATTTTGGAAATTTTTATTATGATATGCTGTGGTAATTTTCATTTGTGGTCCCCCATGTTCAGCTTCTCAAATGGTTGGTTTCTCCTCTTTGATGATGTTTAGGAAGTTTTCTTCCAACAACCCCAGATAGTTTTCTCTGAACTTTCAAAATTTCTGCTCTGGAATTACTACCACACTTATGCTATTCTTCTTGATGGTATCTCAAGTAATTCTTAGATGGTTTTTGGATTTTGGGGGCCAACTTTTGTAGACAGTTCTTTTTCTTTTCTTCCCCTTTTAAAAACTTCATAGTGAGTTAGTGAAGGTTTATAGAACAGATCATCAGATTTATATTAAACAATTCATACACTTTCTGGTTTAGCTCATTCATTGCAATCCCCTTAGTGTACAATCATTTATCCCATTTCCTCCTGTTTCCTAGATCCATTCTCCCTCTTCCTAATCCTCTGTTCTATGCTGCCCTTTTGATGATAAATGGTTGATTATTTTGCTATTGTCGTAGTTGAGAAATGTCGAGTAATGAGTTTGTCAATGAGTAAGGAGTAGATGTACTTGGTTTTTGTGTTACTTTCCATGTCTTTGTGATTAACTTTTAGGTCACCTCTCACTGGGACTCCGAAATGACTACTGACAGCAAATTTATGAACCACTCAGATAAAAAAAAGCTATCAGACTGTGATGTGCCATTGGTGGTAAACACTGATAACATTTGATTTAACCACTTCCCCCACCTTTTTTCTCTTCCCCTTACAGTGTGTCCTGGGCACAATGGAGGAAACTGGAATGTGCGGGTTAGGAGTGGAAGCAGATTTGTTGTGCAACTCACAAGCAGATGATATTCTTCAACATCAAGATTCCCACTGTGATGGCACAAGTAACAAACACTCACTGGAAGAAGAGGAAGGCAGCACCTTCTTAACAAACAGCAGGGATTTGGTGAGCCCACCTTACTGCACACAAGAGTCACTGGAGGAAACTCCTGGGCAGGAAGCTCGCACCTGTCCCCCTGATGGGCAGCAAGATTCCGAGTGCAACAGGAGCACGGAGAAGGAGCTAGGTATGAGGCTCTGCTCTGTGGTTGGGTGTTTTCACCTGAGGCCTGCTTTCCTTATGGTGCTGCAGTGCAGTTGATTGGCAGGCAGGCCCAGTTTTGGGGGAGAAATGGCTGAGCTAACACACCTACTGTCTTTAGTCACTGCCCAAGTGCAAGTGCTACTGTCATGGTCAGGAGGCAACAACGGTCAGAGTAGGAAGTGCAGTTATTTCCCAGAACTGGCTTTCTAGAGAAAAATGGGGCAATTTGACTCACCTTGTTTGTATTTTTAAAGTCGTCTGACAAAAAACTTATGTGGGAACTATCTATTTGCGCAGTTTATTTGGTAATGAGTCCCAAGATGACACAGTCTCATCTGTAGTTTAGAAAGTAGGTTAAGACTGGTTTGCATGGGCCTGATTTCTCCCTTTTGTTTTGCTAACAGATTTAGGACTGAGAATGTGGAATCCAAAGTCCCCTTTTATTTTAGCCTTGCTATCACTTCCTGGATTTTTATCCCAAAGATTTACAGTGTTTCACTTGTATTCACAGAGAACATGGTGTTCTCTGATCATATCTTACATGTGAAATAGTTTAGATATAAGATTGAACATTTAAAAAAGTAAAAAAGAAAGTAGTCTTGGCTTCCCAGATGAGGACATATAACCTCCTCCCTGGGGGGACGGACAACAGAAAAGTGGGTGAAGGGAGACGTCGGACAGTGTAAGATAGGACAAAATAATATTTTATAAATTATCAAGGGTTCATGAGGGAGTGGGTAGCAGGGAGAGGGGGGAAATAATGAGGAGTTGATGCCAGGGGCTTACGTGGAGAGCAAATGTTTTGAGAATGATGAGGGAAACGAATGTACAAATGTGCTTTTATACAATTGCTGTATCTATGGATTGTAATAAGAGTTGTATGAGCCCCCAACAAAAATGATTAAAAATAAATAAAAAATAAATAAATACAACATGCCGCATATTTTGAAACATTTGTTCTCTCCTCTCGCAGCTACTTGCTTCCCTGTTCCAGAGTCTTCAAATACTATCCTTCGGGTCTTTCACTAATTCATCAGAAAACAATCAAGTTATTTAAAGTGTTCCTACTAAAAGACATGTTAAAATTATATGTACATCTTAGTGATTCCAATGAATATGAGCTGAAAATCCTTTGCTTCTATATTTGTACTTGGTTATTCTCGGCCCTTTGTCACACATCTAACTTGGATCTCAATAGTCAGGCCTGGAGACTTTTAAAACCTTCAACAGGTATTCTTATAGTTCAGGGGCAGTGAGTGAGTGAAAAATTTTGGGGTGATCAGGTTTGGAAGGGAGGAGTGCCAGTTAGTCCATAATTAAAAGATAGTCTTCTTTATTTAGCAGGTAAGTTACATAGAATTTTCATGTTAGGTTTGATCCTCATTCTTCCAGAACTTATTTTTTTACTTTGTTGATCATCAGGAAAAGAAGTTTTATTATTGATGCAAGCCCTAAACACCCTTTCGACTCCAGAGGAGAAGCTGGCAGCTCTCTGTAAGAAATATGCTGATCTTGTGAGTATTTAATCAAGTGGGCCAAGCCCATATAAAATAGAAAGCTGTGTGTGTGTGTGTAACTTTATCCGCTTTTAAGAATGTAATTTTCGATAGAATTTTAAATGTAAGATGATTTTATTGCAGGGAAGCATCTGGCATCTTGGGCTTTTCATTGGTTGCTTAACTTGATTTTACCAGGTGGTCTGCATAGATGGTTATGGTGCTCTCTAAAATGGTACATAGAGTTCCTTCAGCTCAGACCTGCCCAGTGTATTTTCCATCAGCATCTTCATGCCTCAGATAATGTTTAGATGCCAGTCTGTTAGGATCACTGGGTCCCTTATTTAACTTTTCCCAAGGAATTCTAGAAATAAAGACTAGCCTTTTTTTAACCATTGAATTGGGGGCTTGTAGAACTCTTATCACAATCCATCCATCCATCCATTGTGTCAATCACATTTGTACATTTGTTGCCATCATCATTCTCAAAACATTTGCTTTCTACTTGAGCCTTTGGTATCAGCTCCTCATTTTCCCCCCTCCCTCCCGAACCCTTGATAATTTTTAAATTATTATTTTGTCATGTCTTACACTGTCTGATGTCTCCCTTCACCCACTTTTCTATTGTGCATCTCCCAGGGAGGTGGTTATATGTAGATCATGGTGATCGGTTCCCCTTTTCTCCCCCACCTAACCCTTACCCTTATGGTATCGCTACTCTCATTATTGGTCCGGAGGGGCTTATCTCTCCTGGATTCCCTGTGTTTCCATCTCTTATCTATACCCCCATGTACATGCTCTGAAGACTAACCATTTTGACTGAAGTTCAATGTGAGTTAAATGAACTGGTCTAGTAAAGTAATGGCATGTCTCAGGAAATACGTAATTAGTGTCTCCTCTGTGCCCTCCAGGAGCACTGGTGGGGTAGTGAGCTACAACCAGACAGCAGTTTGAACCCACCAGCTTCTCTCCAGGAGAAAGATGAGCCTGGCTGCTCCAGTCAAGATTCACAGTTTGGAAACCCTAGGAGCAGTTGTACTGTCTGCCTTCTTAGGACACTGAACACCAGAATTGATTCGATGGCAGTGGGTTTTTGCATTGTCGATTATGGCGGCAACATTGGGCTCAAACGTAACAATGTGAAGATGGCCCAGGACCAGGCAGTATTGAGTTCTGTTGGACATGGGTTACTTTGAGGCAGAAGCAACTCCATGGCCCCTGTCAACATGCTATTAAGGATGTCTGGTGGCTCAGCTACGAACTGAAAGGTGGGAGAGTTCCAGCTAACCAGCCAATTTGTAAAGAAAGGATATAGCAGCCTACGCCCTTAAAAATTATAGGCCTGGAAAAAGTGTAAGGCCAGTCTACTCTGTCCTATGGGGTTGCGATGAGTCACAGGCCACTCGGTGGCAGTGGATCCCCCCCCCCCCCCGATTTAAATACAAAAGTGATGGCCTTCTCTGAGACACATAGGGGTAGTCTATGCATATCCATCTGTTCCCTATATAAACACTGCCATTCCTTCAAAGATCAGCTCTGAAGTAACGAATTCTGTGGATTTGATTTCTTACTGGGAAGCTGCTGGCTACTTGCCGTCGGTTTAGAGTTTCTGTGTACCGTCCTAGCTGGGGCCACTCTGCAGACTGCCCTTGCCATGGGAAATGGGCTAAACAGGCCCCAAGCCATGAGAGCAGAGGTTCCCTTCCAGTGAGGAAATTGACTATAGTGAAATAGAGACCTTTTACTTGACAAGACTTCTTAAAACAAAGTGAGGGAGACACATTGCAAACTGGGGGGCTTTATTTATAATGCAGTGAACCAACAAAAGATGAGATTGAGAAACCATCCGACTAGAGAGCACCTGCAGCTGAACCCAGAATGGGAGCTAGTCAAGAGCCACGAGGAGACATTTCATAGATGTGAAGTGACTTAGGTTGTTCAGCACATACAAGGAGACGTTCAGAGCACAGGGCCAGGCCAGGCCATTCCCACAAGCAGTCATCATAAAAGTGTTGGCAGGGGTTGGGGTTTACCCAAAGCAAGCACCGTACCTTCTGTTTTGCAGAGGGGAGTTGAAAGCTGCCAGGCCCTCAGGCACATTTTGGCATTGTCATGTACAACTGAACATTTAGAAATTCTGCAGCCAAGCAACCCCACTTGGAGATTTATACCCGAGAGATTCCCACACATGTGCATCAAGAGACCTAATATGAGGGCATTAGTGTCACTGTAAATAATGAACAGACCTGGAAACCGCCAAAATACCCAGTGACGAGAAGATAGACAAGAGGCTTTAAATAGTGTATCGAGAGGGAATGACACAATTAAAATGAAATTTTTCCTTATGCTTTTTGAAGCGTCCTTGTACTTTCCTTGTTGAAGACACCCTGGTGGTGTAGTAGTGAAGGCACTGGCCTGCTAGCTGCAAGGTGGTGGGTGGTTCAGATCTACCTGGTGGCTAGTTCTGCTTCCATAAAGATTGTAGCCAAGACAATCTCATGGAACAGTTCTTCTCTACAACACTTGGTGGCACTGTGGAGCCAAAAGCCAGCACCTAACACAGCAATGTTTTGTTTTATTTATTTATGAATAAAATATTTTATTTATTTAGAGCCTGTGGGCCAAACCTGGCTGGTGCTTGCTTTTATACTGCCCACAACCCAAGAGTGGTTTTTTATTTAGAAAAGTTTACAAAAATGAAAAAGAACAATATGTGGCCTGCCAAAACTTAGAATAGTTATTATTTTTTGATCCTTTATAGAAAAGTGTGCTAAAGAAAACCAGGACCAAGAGCTGCCACTTCTGTAGAGCACTATGGAGGTGCAGATGACATCTAGCAGGTGTCACTGAGAGTTGGGTTCTCCCGAACAGAGCAGCTTGCCCCAGGGGGCTTTTCCAAGTTTTGATGGAACAAACAAAATCAGGTCCTCAAGTCACACCAGCCACGAAGAAAGGTAAAAGGATTAAACCCACCAAAAAAGGTTCTCAGGACTTTGCCCTGATGACATGTGATCACTCGGGAAGAAAGGAAGCGAGACGAAGTGCAGTTTTAGAAGTCACAAGGCTTGTGTTGGGTGGTAAACAGAGCCTGTATAGACCAGTGAGTGTCCTGAATCAAGGACTGTGATGAATCCACTTCTGGACACCCGACATCTAGAAATAAATGAAAAAACAGCTAGAAGGATGCTATTCGTAGAGTTTCTGAAATTGTCTTGTGTTTGTAGGCAAGTAACCCAAACCAAACCAACTGCTTCGAGTAAATTCTGACCCACAGCAATTGTGTAAGGAATGCTGTAGGGCAGAGTAGAACTGTGCCCTAGGGTTTCCCAGACTGTACACCTTTACGGGAGCAGACAACCTCATCTTTCTACCGTGGAGCGGTAGAACGTGGGTCACATGCTGCCTTTATGGTTAGCGACTCAACAAGTAACCCATGGTGCCACCAGGCTCCATAGGTAATGAATGTGTATTTATATGAATAGGACATTTTTTCAGTTTATATAATGTAGCTCTCCTTTCTAATGAATGTGAGCATTTAATGACTAGGCAGAGGAGAGGGACACCTTCAAGGTCATCAATGCATATTGAAAAATAGCTTTCCAGGAGTTCCTGGGAGCTGGGAGGTTGGGGGCATGGTCCCCTGCTGCCATACACCTGTGTGACTCGGCCTGTTTGGATTTCCTTTGTCCCTGTTTCTCTTGAGATGCAGCTTTGCACTTTACAGGACAGCAAAAAGAACATGATTTACTCTGTCACCCTCTTTGGGAATACCCTCTTCCCCCTCTGATTACACGTTCTCCCTGCCTTTGGGTGTTGCGGGGGGACACAGCTCAGCCTTAACACTGGTGGGCATGTTGGCACAGTTTTCTGATCCTATTTTTGTGGGTCTGTTCTTCCTGGCGACTGGGCACCCCCTTCCACAGCCGTCTGAAAACTCTTGGCCTCTCTACACCTTGTTATCTCTAGCAAATGACATGCCCCGAGTCTCTCAGAGGAAAGAGATGCCAACCTATTGTCTGCACCTACCTGCTGGGCACTCATCACTTTTGCATCACCAGTGCTTAGTAGCTGGGTGCCCGGTAAGGCTCGGTGTAGGGTACCGACACCATCAGTGCCATGGGATGGTCATGTCTGAGCTGCCACACAAATCTTGTGTCAACGTGACCAAGAAAGAGTACGAGGAAATAGGCAACACTTGGTTTTCCCCAGCAGTGCCCATTTTACTCCCTTGGAGTGGGAAAGACTGGGCTGCAGCTGCCCACCCATAGTCAGAGCAAAGTCACATTTCTTGACAATTTTGCAGGGATTTCAGTACTCCAGCCTTAGAGCTGTGCGCTATAAGGCTGCGTGATAATGTTTTACCAGACCACCAGATGTCACTCTTGCTCCTGACAACGTGACTCATCTTCATTTCCTGCTTCAGGAATAGCTTTCTGGACCAGGCAGTCAGGCTGCCATCTTACCCGTTAGTCTTGTTTTAACCTTGGCTTTGATTAATTTCTGTAGCTCTCAGCCGGCAGCTGCGCTCCTGCCCTGAGAACCCACGCACTCTGGCCCAAGAGCTTCTGGGAGCTGCCGCTTCAGAGAATTAGTGTTTTTAGATGATGTCTACTCCAAAAATGTTTCCCTAAAATAGCAGTTTTTGTTTTTTATGAAGAAACAAGAAAATAGGTCATTTTGACGACTGCATCAGACAAGTAGCCTTGGTGTGGTTTTACTTGATGTCCATTCCTAAAACGTTTTCTGGAAATAAAAAAAACGTGTTTGCTTTTATGAAGAGAATAGAAATTGAGATTTTTTTTCCCCTCCCCTACCCCAAAAGGTTGGCCTGCTTTGGCATCACAGCTAGAAAAGGTTGGCAGAGTAGCTTGCCCTTATAGCCTTTAGGCAGATGACTGCCCGGCCGGTAGTGTTGAGCGTCTGAAATGCGGTCAGTTTCGGCTCTCACCAGGCCTCCGCCCAGAGGGTTGTCGTGGGCTCCCCGGGTGTAAAGCGCTTGTCCTTCTAGCTGGAGGAGAGCAGGAACGTGCAGAAGCAGATGAAGGTCCTGCAGAAGAAGCAAGCGCAGATCGTGAAGGAGAAGGTCCATCTGCAGAGTGAGCACAGCAAGGCCATCCTGGCAAGAAGCAAGCTCGAGTCCCTCTGTAGGGAGCTCCAGCGGCACAATAAGACTTTGAAGGTGAGATGCATTGGCCGAGCTTGGTGAGCATGGTTCATGGCGTTGGATTATACTTGCGAACGGTGTGGAAATGGGCAGTATTTTGCTTGGCCACAATTTTTACAAAGCAGTGTATTGGTTCGTCTTTCTGTTTCTCCTCAGGTGTTCTAGTCCCCTCAGATCTATGGGAACTCAGTCCTGGTCGCCACCTACTTTGATGGGATTTAGCTACGATGGTTGATAAACCCTGGGGACATCTGGGCCGAAGTGCAGGTTCCTTGAGCGGGAGGCCCTGTGGGGCCCCAGGGAACGGAGAGCTTGGCCACCTGGCTTTCTGACTACACATACTGGGGCCATGTGGGAGGTCTCTGGGAGCCTCCTCTTAGCACAGAAGTGGTGGTTTTGTGGCCCACAGGCTTGATCTCGGGGATCTAGATAATCTCTTTCTGTCCTTGGCGCCCCCGCCAAGAGCCCTGGTTCTGCGGCTCGGAGGCGGGCTGGCCAGCTACTGATGCACTTGGTTACCATGCCTCCCGCAGATAAAGCAGGGGCAGCTGAGTGGAAATGAGCAGCCGGGAGCAGCAGTCCTGCGTCACTGCACTTGAGCAGGCAAGGCAGACCTTGCTGAGCTGCTGCGTGGATATGAAATGGCTGGGCTGCTAGTCTCCGCCCCACACCCACCCTCCAGTTGCTCAGTCCTTCCAGAATAAGTACTTCAGCCACAGCTGTACATGAAAGAAGAGGGTACAGATAATGGAAGACTGCTTGGTTGGCCACAGGGGACAAGGACAAAGGGCAGAGACCCAGAAGGCTCTGCTGGCTCCTCTAATGGAAGCAGCTGCCCCCAGGCCATGGCCAAGCTGGTCCAATACACCCCACTAACTGCCCCCCTCAGACCCTGAAGCCTAAAAAGCCCTTAGAGGCTCCTTTTCCTTTGCTTTTGCAACTTTGGGCTTTGATAGGAATAAAAAGCAGGTGATTATTTATTCCATAGCAAATCTCCATTGAGGTTGAGCTGCAGTTGTCTAGAGGTAAAGGTCTTTCACACTTGACCCCTAGTTGAAAGTAAGACTGTTAAAGCTAAGAGCTCATTTATCCCCTGCCCTTTAGGAAGATGTGGACTCAGAAGGAAGGGGCTCCCTTGGGGGGCATGGCTTCAGGTTGATGCAGGCTGCCCTGCCTGGCCAGGGAGGAGGGAGAGCCCTCCGGGACTTTGGTAGGGGGAGGGTTAGGGGGTCTGTGCACGCTGGCTTTCTGGGGGCACTTTGTATCTTTACGTGGATGCCTGAGTCTTGGAGAGGCCTCTGGGTTGGAAACTCGGAGGAGGGCGTATGGTCAGGGCAGCAATTAGTGAACGCCGCATTCATTCGCGGTGAGTGTTGCAGTGATAGGTATATGCTACTAACAAGCCTTATTTTGAATAATAAGGAAGAAAATATGCAGCAAGCCCGAGAGGAAGAAGAAAGACGGAAAGATGCCACGTCACATTTCCAGGCCACGCTGAATGAAATTCAGGCCCAGCTGGAGCAGCATGACGTGCATAATGCCAAACTTCGCCAGGAGAACATTGAGTTGGGCGAGAAGCTGAAGAAGCTCATTGAGCAGTACGCACTGAGGGAAGAGGTAAAGACGCTCCATTTGCTTAGGTCAAAAGCCACCGTTATTCGTAAAGCTTGCCCGTTTGTCACTCCTTGAAAACGATAATCTTGGGATACTTGAGCTGTTTGCGTAGTAACATTGGACACGGAAAGACCCAGGCTCCATGAAATAGAAAGTTGCTAAATTTGGCTCTCTGAGGGGAATTCCCATAGACTGGAAAATGCTATTTATCTTCCATGTGTTACTGGAAGGCTCCATGGGCCTCCAACTTAGACTGGTGCAATTGTTCCGCAGGCTAGCGGGGGGCATTAGAGCAAGAGGTAGGAACCAGCTCTCTGAGCACTCCCGTGGACACAGGTAGAAGCTTGGGTTTTGTAAGTGTTGCAGCCCCTGCCTTTAAAACTGGTAAAATGTGCTTGCGTGTGTCCTGTCCATGAACAGAAAATAGTAGATTTTTAAAAATGTGGCATCACTGTAGGTTATTTTACCCATTTTCAACTCTATAGTTTTACATACTCTTTGAAAACTGTTTTGTTTTGTTGTGTTTTTTTTTTTTTGTGGTGGTGATGGCGGTGGTTTCAACCACTCTGCATTTAGCTTTTTAGAAAGCTTTTATTGTGGAAAATTTCAAGGTGAACTAAAAGAGAGAGTACGTCACAGTGGTCGAGCAACCCTGACCCGCAGACCCGGTCTCTGCTCCCGTCACCTCCCTGGACGGCCCTGGAAGAAATTCAAGAGGCCTTGCTATTCCGTTCATAAATTATTTGATAAGGATTCCTTTTGAGGCATAACTACACTGCTGTGTTCACATGTGAAAAATGACCAGTAATCATTTAAATTACCTATCTAGTCATTTTCCCAATTTCTCGGTTGCCTCCTTTCTGTTTAAAACTTGTTTGAGTCAAGAGCCAAGTAAATGCAGAAGGTTCGTTCCCTGGTTGCTGTGTGTCAGGTCTTTCGTTTTCTGCATTTTCACGGTGCGCTCTCACTGACCTTTCTTTCTCCTGTATAATGAACTTAGTTTTTATTAAAGCATGAAGGCCTGGTTCTTTTCATTTTGTTGTTTAATATCACAGTCTGTTTTGCCATAGATGTAGTGCATTTGGAAGTGGCCTGTGTCCAAACCATGACTTGTGAGTTGTACTTGCATATTCCAGAGCATTCTCTTGTTGGTCGGACTATAATGACGATCAAATGCTGCTAAAGACAGAACACTGGGTCTCTCTTCACTACTTAGACTCCCTCATTATCAAGTCTGTCTTCTTCAGTGAGGGGGCTTCGCAACATTCGAAGATAGAGGGAAAGGAAGAATTGGGCTTTCCCAGGAGCTTTAGGAAGCCCCCTCATAGCGAGAGAAGATTCTATTTCTCCACTGGAGAAGTGAGGTTGTGATTTCTTTGTTGTTAGTTTTGACTCAGCCTCCCTTGTGTACTACCTTCAGCTTATAATTACTTTATTGGCCATACATAATCTCTAACCACTTCAGTTAGGAAAGTTTGACCTTGTACCAAATGTCTGGTATGTTCCAAGTACCAAGCACCTTCCCTAGTCAATGATTGCATTTCTCTCTACGATTCTGCAGGGTACCTATGGGCATCCCTTTTGACAGATGGAGAGCCGAAATTAAGCAGGCTTTGACCTTGGCCCACTCCCACCATTGTGTCAGTATACCATGCTACTGAGAAATCTGGGGGATTTGAAGAGGGAGCACAAACATTCAGGAATTATGCGTATGGTGACTGGGTTTAGAGTTTCCTTGGGTTCTTCATCCTGTTTGAGCCTTCATTTCAACTTGGGCAAACTCAGAACTACGAAGGTCTAGGGCAGAGAGGCCTGTGGGGCAGCAGGAATGTCACGCGCAGGCACTATGGGTCTGATGGCACGAGCAGAACAAGGCACCCCTCCTGCCGCAGGTTCCTGGGAGCGCCAAGTGATGGCAGCGGTCTTCCTTTCTCCGCAGCATATCGATAAAGTGTTCAAACATAAGGAACTGCAACAGCAGCTTGTGGACGCCAAGCTCCAGCAGACCACACAGCTCATAAAAGAGGCTGAAGAAAAACATCAGAGGGAGAGAGAGTTCGTAAGTTTTGTTTCAGAAACAAAGAAATAGTTGTCAACATTCGAACCTAAGCCATTGAAATGTACCCTGTTTCATATAGCCCCCGAGGCCTTCGGTGGGATGTTTTACTGGCAATGGAGGAGGGAGGGTGTGTCAGAATTCAGCTTCGTATGGCTTAATACATAAGAAAGGCATGAGAGATAACAGACCAGTTAGAGGAAAGACCTGCATGTGCTTCGAGTGTTCGTTTCACTTCATTGCTAAGGGTCACCAAGTGAAGAACTGTATAACCTGTCAAGTTAGACCTGGAGAGCTAGGGACAGTTCAGTTGAACTTGTCGTGTACCCTATACTGGTCTCCCATATCCTGTTACATTTTTCTTTTAAACAAGTAACTTCAACCTAGGTAAACCCTTGGTTTTCTTACGCTGGCATAATTATCTGATACAGTTTTAGCAGAATTCTCTCTGCCCTAAGCCCCTAACCTTGGCCCCCCACCCCGTGTCTCTGCGCAGATGACCTTGCTGGTCAGACGTTGATGCAGTAGAATCTCACTGGGTACACATGCACATTCGACTCAGCTTAACATCGCAAAACAAAAAAGTGAGATGTGATGATGGGAATCTGGACTCTTCATCCAGTGGTTCATTCAGGTGACCTTGGCCCTGAAGGGAACCTGGGAGTCCTCAGTGGCCCTCGGGAAGAGAGCATCTCTTGCTGACGAGGGTTTAGTCTTGCTGACTTGCTGACTAGAGTTTAGTGAGCCATGTTTCCCTTATATGGGCCTTCTGTGCTCAACTGCCGAGATGGCTACCTGACCTACATTGGAGTAGACATTAGGTACACACATGTATACACATTATAGGGCTGCACGTCCTGGTTGCTTTAAGGGCTTTCAAGGCTAATATGGGCGGTGTGATTTCTCACTCCAGAGCCTGAATGTCACTGCGGCCTCCTTTGTAACTTTCCTACATACTTTTCTTGCAAACCAGGGTATATGAACTCCAGCCATCCTGCCTCTGTTGACAATCTCTCTCCCCCACACCCTGCACTTTCTTAAAATGAGCAGTCTGCTTACATTGCGTTGCCCATGCCCTCACCCAAACTGCCCCAATAATTGCAAGATTCCCAGCTATGTTTTTCATGGTGTTCTCACCTGAAGCACAAGTTAACCCTGAGTTCTGTAACCAGATACGTTTCGGAGGCACCTGTTCTGACTGAAGCAGTGGACGCAGATCCCTGCCCTCCGAAGCGCTCACCAGCAGCGTGGATCAAAGCTCTGAGGGACTAGTGGTTGACGGCAGAGGACAGTTCCTCCATAGATTAGAGATTGGCGCTAAAACCAGGAGCATGGAGCCTACCTCTAGGGGCACTGGACACAGTGGTCATATTTTCCAGGATGTTTCTGTTTTCTAGCTATTAAAAGAAGTAACTGAATCGAGACACAAATACGAACAACTGAAACAGCAGGAAATACAGCTAAAACAGCAGGTACGTTGACAACAGGGAGGGCGAGTGGGGGTAGGGACACTACAACGTCTACGGGTCCTCCTTTGCGGTTCCTGTGCTGGATAGCTTGAGTCCCAACCGGAGCAGAGAGTAGATCACATGTCCCACTGGAAAGTCTCCTCTTCCTTTAGGGAGACCAGCTAGCTCATCCTGGTTTGACTGCCCAGGATTTAGCACTGCCGTGCCAGGGCCCCCTCCATCTCAGACAGGCTGGGGCAGTTGATCACCTCTTCAATGTCCCATGTACCTTTTCCTTTCTCCATCTATGTCCATTTACAGCTTGGTCCCCACAAAGGAAATAGGTGAGCCATAGGAAATTTCTGGTATTTGCCTTCTTTGACCTACAGGACATGGCTGATTCGTAGAGTATAACCTGTAACATGTGCTCGGGGCACAGGCCTTATTGAAAATTGGCCAATGCCCAATCAGGCCCACTCCCACGTGGAGCTGTATTGGCTTATGGTTTTGTCACTGGCTCCCTCCCTACTTTTCAGATGAGACCTTTGAGGTCAAGTCTGGCCTGTTCACTGTCAATATGGTGGCTTTCTAAGGAGTAAGGAGGGCAGGATAAGAGGAGGACAGAGGCTGCCTCCTCACAGGGAAGGCTGCCTGCCTGCTTCGGCTCTTATCTCTACAATCACCCCTTTTCAGTTAATTAGAGTATGTTCAGGGAGTCTTCATAGTACACTAGACATGTTGATAAGGTGGTGGTGGTAATTTTCTATCAAGCTGGTCTACAGTTGACAGCCCAGAGAAGTCAAATATCAGAAATCCTTGGAACTTTCTTTCCACCATTAGTTATCCTCCTGTTAGAATGCTTCTAGATTTGAACCTCTTCTTCCACTCTGTAATTTCAATTCTCCATGTAGAGAAGGCAGACCAAGTCTCCGTGTGGCTTGGGAGATGGCCTTGAATGTGGGAGTCACTGAGCATTGGCTCGAGAAGAGTCTCTTAGCAAGCTCACCGCCATCTCCACTTCAGCTCTCCTGCCTGCCACGGTCATCCGTAGTCATAGTGTATACATTATTTACTTCCTTTGCTGTCCTCTCTCTTTTTCTTCTTGCTCCATCAGCGTGGCTGTCCCGCACTCTGCTCTTCCCTGCGCCCTTTGGCATCAGTTGCTACTGGTGCCACAGTCCTCCTGGTGTGGGGGTCCTACTGTTTGGCAATGCCTTCCCAGAAGCCCAGGTGGGATGGTACTTGCTATTTATGAATTTGCCAATGGGGCTGTCTGCTTCTGCCTGTCCGGCTGCAGCACAAACATACCAGCTCAAAGTGCCGTAGCCTCATTTCCATCGAGTGCTACAGCTGCACCAGCCAGGTGCCCCCTCCATAGTCCTCCATGTAGCCCCGTCCACTGCCACCCTCAATCTGTTTCTGCTGGCCACCGCCCAGCTTGGCCCATACCTCCTGATGCTTGGCTTGGCTGTCCTGTTGTCCTCAGCCATCCTCACATCACAGGCGAGCACGTTGCTGTCCATCTATCTCTTCTTCCTATGGAGGATGGGACTTGCTTCTCTGTGATTACCTCGTGGCCTAGCCCACCTGACAATTGCCAGGGGAGAGTTGGGGGGGGGGTGCTCGTGCCCTCGATTCTCCGCTGTCCTGTTCAGGCAGCCCATGACATACTCCCGATCCATCACTACTGAAAGGGGAAGGTGTCGCTTCTGTGTGGTTTGTCCTCTCATGAGCTTGTCTACTCTGCTGCTCTTCTGTGTATCCTGTGCTCTTGGATCTGTCGCTTCATGAGGTCCAGACTTGTAGCCCCATGGCAACAAAGGTGCCTCGGGGACATCTGTTCCTCCCACGGACTCCTTTTCCTTCTCCAGCCAAACCAGTTCCTTAGCTACTTTTTCAGTTTCCTGCCTCTGTTACAGGAAGAGAGCCTTGCCACCAAGCCAAGAACTGCAGGTGACATTCTAAAAGAAGGATCTTTTCCACAAGAACAATTTTTTTTTTAAGTTCACTGACCCATTGGGCCATATGGATTTCAGAGTGCTCCTGCACCAGACGTCCTTTTCCTAACTGATGGAATGGAGCTAGTAAGCATCGGCATTTCAAGTACTTGCATTCAAAGATGGTTATGGCAGCAGTCTGACGTTTCAACACGAGTCAGCAGAATTTGGCATACTTGCCTCTGTTGGGTGTTTGAAGGCTGGGCACACGTTAGTTCTAATTTCTGTCAACAATTTTTAAGTGTTTTGTGTTCTTTTCAATATCTTTGGGATTGTTTACCTGGATCTCAAGAGTATTTCCTACTTCTTCCCTATATAGCTTTCTCTTTATATGGATAAGTTTGAAGAATTCCAGACTACCATGGCAAAAAGCAATGAACTTTTTACAACCTTCAGGCAAGAAATGGAAAAGGTAAGTACATATTCCCAGTAAATGATCCGGGGAGTCTGAAGCAGCCAGGCTAGGTGGATGAGTTAGTTGGGGGATACCCACACTCTGGTCTTTCATTGGTTCCCTCAGGCAGCTTGCCCTCTCAGTAGCTATGGTCCTACTGCACTTCAAGTCTGTCTGTATGAAATTAAGTTCTTCTATGATATAAAATTAGTTTTTACAAATAGGCGTGTGTGTGTGTGTGTGTGTGTGTGTGTGTGTGTTCTAATCATCACAGGTGATGACACCCCTCCCCTCCCCATCTTTTTTTTTCCCAAAAAGCCCTGTGCCCTTAGAGATGGAATTATTTTAAAACCTCCAAGACCAAAAGAGTAATTAGACATCCTTGTTGGTTGATGGATATGCATAGCCACCAAAAGAGCTCGTTACCACCCACCCGTGTGGGAGGAGCGTCTCCCCTTCCAGTGGGGGCTTGGGGCAGGGGTGGGGAGGTGGGAAGGACGGCAGGGTCTGGCTTTGGGAAACACTCAGCTGTGGGAAGGGTGATTGCGCTTGTGGAGATCTCTAGGCCTGGCCCCAGTGCGTCGGTCAGCGCCCCCGTCAGGTTGTTCAGTATTCCAGGCCTCTCTTTCCCTAGTCCTTCATCAAAAACGAGGACAACAAAACTGCTCTTCACCAAACAAGAGCCTTTGAAACTGTGCTCGGCACATGTTCTGTGCTCAAGCTCAAATTACTACTTTCAGGTATTTTTAGACCCTAGTAATCTGGAGAATTCTGAGAGCAGCAGAGGCAGGCCAGGCCGGGCTGCCTGTCAGCCAGGCTTCCTGCGGAGGCCCCAGGCCAGTGGGGGTTGGGGGTGGGAGTGTTAGCTGGACTCCAGCACCTGCTGGCTTAGTGAGGTGGGACAGGAGTTACGGACTCCCAAGTTAGCCTGCCTAGAGAATCCTTTGGCCTGGAAAACTTTCTCTCCCTATTGGCTTCACAGAGCACTCTGTCTGGGTCAGCACCTGGCCTCAGTCAGCCCTGAGCACTCCCACAGCCATCATCCCAGGGTGCCTCAAGTTGCTTGTAGAGTTGCTCAGGGTACTTACTGGCTTTATCTTCTCCTCAGTTCCCTTAGCAAGCACCTGGCCAGTCACCAGTCGTGGTGGTCACTGTTAAAAACGGGGCCAAGTGAAGGGCATAGATACAGCTTCCTTTGAATTTTTGAAAACCGGGTTCTTGTGGCCCAAGTCGATCTCGACTCCGAGTGACCCTGTGTAGGACAGAGTAGAACTGCCCTTGGGTGTCTGAGATGATGACTCTTTACATGAGTGGAAAGCCTCATTTTTCTCCAACAGAGCAGCTGGTGGGTTTGAACTGCTAACCTTGAGATTAGCAGCCCAACTCATAACTCGCTGGGCCGTCATAGCACCTTTAAGTTTAATAATGTTCCCTTGTTTTGGAACCCATTTAATCTTTGGCAAAATTTGAAGTCGCTCTTTGGATGAACTACATCTTTGACTTAGTTACTAGCCTTTCCCGGCTCGGAACCCATGGGGAGGGCCGGGGTTTGGAGGTTGTGGTAGATCGAGCACCAGTCTTTACCTCTTTCTGAGGGCTAGTGATCCCTGAGAATCTAATGCAGGCGTTCTCAAACCGGCCTGCGGTCCACATGCGGCCCGCCAAGGACATTTATCTGGCCCGCCGGGTGTTTTTGCCCCGTTTGTTTTTTAATTTCAAAATAAGATATGTGCAGTGTGCATAGGAATTTATTCATGGTTTTTTTTTAACTATAGTCCGGCCCTCCAACGGGTCTGATGGACAGTGAACTGGCCCCCTGTTTAAGAAGTTTGAGGACCCCCTAACCTAATGAGTTAGTGTAATGGCTCCTATCTCCAGAAAACAGACTGCTTGGGGAACAGATGGTCTTATTGCCTGTGGCCTCTGTATTGAGAGGTTGCCTTAGATGAGAAAGCAGAGTGAGCCGGCTGAAGACCACCTTCATGGGCTTCCGGGAGGGAGATCAATTTTGGTTTTCTCGGATCAGGAACCTGGCTTTGGTCCAGCTGAGGAGCTTCTGAGCTCCGCTCTGTGCCCACAGCCGGCCCAGCTCCTTTTACAGAGACCTCCACAGCTGTTGGCTGGGTGGGGCCCACACACAAATGGGACACACAAACACCCTGTGGTGTGGGACACGGGGTGGAATGAGAAAGAGCTTAAATTTTAAATTTGCAATTGTGTTGGTTCACAGATGACGAAGAAAATTAAAAAACTGGAAAAAGAAACGATAGTGTGGCGGACCAAGTGGGAAAACAACAATAAGGCACTTCTGCAGATGGCTGAAGAGGTGAGGCGGGCGCTTTCCAGGAACCAGGGGTTCTTAGTCAGGGGCTAAGAAGGATAATGGACCACAGCTGGGGTGGAAAGGCCGAGGTCGAACCTGGAGGAACTGGCTGAAAGCCTGCTTACTGCCCAGTTCCCCTGTGTGGGCGGGGCTAGGAGGCAGTGGGGAAGAATGGAAGTCTCACTTGCTTCTGTAGCAGTGCTTCCTCAAGCTGGCGTGGATAGAACTTACACTTGGAGGAGCGGTGGTCCAGCTTCCCATGGGGGGAAGCTGAGCCCACCCACTGACTCAGTGGGGTCTCTGCCTTGACTTGGTCTCTTCAGAAAGGCAACAAAATGTTGTTTGGGCCTCTCGTATGTAAGGCGACCAGATCTTAACATTGGTAAAGCGGGACACCATTGCTAAAACTCATATCCTGGTGAAATAGCCACATGGCAGCCGAAAACTGTAGACCCTAGCTTGTCGTGAATTATTTCCCCAAATCGGGACTTTTTTAAAACATCGCAGGACGCGGGGAAAACTGTTAAAAATTGGGACTGTCCCGCCAAAAGCGGGACGTTTGGTCACCTTACTCTTAAGACAAAGCTGAAACGTAATCCAATGGCTGCCACTAAATTTCACCCTTCTGAAACGTAACTCGTTTATACCATTCTTGCACAGGAGCTAGTGAGTGTGAGGGCCCATTTATGCAGGAGCTAGGGCCTTGTCTACAAACTGGCCAACCAAACCCTACATGGGGTGAAAGTGACTCCTCTTTTGATTCAGCCTATTAGTGCCCCACCCTGCTCCCATCCCCCCTGTAAGTTTTGTATCTGCCGATCTTTAGGACTAAGCCCTTGAATGGCTTCCGTGTTTCTCCAATACAGTGGTGGCTAAAAGTATAGTGGGTTTGGGTTCTCTTTCCTTATGGAACAAGTTCGTGGAAATGGAGTGGCTGTGCTGTCCCGGCAGGCGGCAGGGTCACTTGGAGGTGGATGCAGAGAAGCTAACCTTGGCTGCTCAGGGGCGTTTTCAACGAGTGAGTGTTCCGAGGTGGTAGAGGAGGACGCTAACAGGGCTCAGCTAGCTGTGTTGTAGCCAAAAGCCTGTTTAGGAGGGTTCATAAAGGCTGTGTGTTTTTCCTTACAGAAAACTGTCCGTGATAAAGAATACAAGGCCCTTCAAATAAAACTGGAACGGTTAGAGAAGCTGTGTAGAGCTCTTCAGACTGAAAGAAACGAGCTCAGTGAGAAAGTGCAATTCCTGGAGCAGCAGGTCGCCCTCCGAGCAGTAGGGGTGGACTTGCTGCCGCTGGCAGATGAGTCCTCCACCATCCTGGAGGAGTCCCACGGGGAGCCGAGCTCGGCTGACAACACCCCCAGAGCCCAGCTGGCAGTGGAGCATGAGGTCGCCCAAGAGACCCTGTGCATCAGCCCATTTCCGACCATCGATTCCGTTGACTAAATGTGCAATCACTGTATGGAGAGCTCTATTTTGTGTATAATTTTCTGTTAGTAGTAACTATTGGCTTTGTGGTGAAAACTTTCTTACTTTTTCTACCATATCTGTATTTTCTTAGAACTACTGGACTTATGTGGTGGTACAGGAGGCGGCTTAGCAGTTTTGAGTCATTGGAATCTGTACCTTTTCCTCAGCTGTCTTGCACAACCCCCTCATTTGCCCCTTCACTGGAATGCATGTGTTCAGTGCAGACTCCTGTCCCCGGCTCCTTGCACATAGTCGTCTTCATTGACATTTCAGTCAGGACAGGGTTCACCATCACCGAGGAACTCAGTTCTGTTAATGGCTCCTTGATGTGAAAACCATATAGAAACCTGGGTTCTCCCTCCACGGTTCAAATCTAAAACGATGGCAGTTCATTTTTGTCTAAATCTCACGTCAAAATGCTAAGTGAAAGTTAATGTTGGTCAGAAGCGAAAATACTAGACTTAAGCTGGCTGTATAAATAACCTGTATCACTTGACAAACTGAGGGGTGGACACATGCCTGAAAGCTTCCGAAGCTAAAAAGATGCTCTTGCCAACCAGATACATTGCAGGCAGATAGTAGTGACCGGCACGTGGCTTTTATACCACCTGGAGGCTGACTGCAGAGAACGTTGGGCTAGATTTGATTGGGATCTGGATACATTCACCACATTCCACAGAAAGCCCATGATCCCGTTCACGTTCGTGTAAGATAGGGGTCAGTTATGGAGGCCTTACCTGCTGCCTTGTGGTTCCTTAGAAGTTGGTGTTCATCTCTTTTACGAGAGTCCTACTAGCAGTGTTCTGGGCCTTTTAAAGTGAATTTTAACTGCAACATATAACAATACCAACTTCACCTGGAACACATTTATTTCGAGAAAACTGAAGTGGAGGGTGTGAGGTAGCCACGATCGATGACTTCAGCTTTCAGTCCATTCTGAATCGCTCATTTACTGTCAGATTTTTAGAGGTGAAACAAGTTATTACTAAAGTCCCTGCACTTGGGAACATTTCAAAATTAAAAGCACATGTTTGCATTAGTTCCTTTTTGGTTTGGTTTTCAGTGTTGTCTGGCTAAATTATGCAAATGTTAAGTTAGGCCCCACTCCTAAACATTTGGATTTTGTCCTTGGTAGAATTTGCATTGAAACACTTTAACAAAAAGTTCTATCTACTGAACAAAGCTATCAAATAGACACTTGTTAAATGGCCTACCGGACAAGTTCTTCCCTTTGATCCACTTAAAGTTCTTTAGCATGCTGTTTGTAGAGTCCTCTACTTTCCTGGTCTTAACTGGGCGGAATAAATTGGAACGTGCCAGGTCCCTGGGCAACAGCCCCAGAGTGGAAGAGCATACCTGAGCTTTACTCAAATACCCGCCAGCCAGGGACAAATCCACAAAGCAGGCTACCTGATCTCGCAAAATGAGGAAGAAGCAAAAACAAAACCACCCTTCCACAGCCTCTTATAAATACCTACCCCCACACTGCTTTCAGGTACTCAAGGAAGCCTGGGACCCAGCCATGAAGGTATAGTTCAGAAATATAATCTACCATAAAATTAGTACTGAAGATCACATTTCATAAGAACTCTGTCAGATGTACAGCTCTTATCATTTTACCCAGCCAGTTGTGTAGCTCACATTGCTCTGTGGTACTTGTTCTGTGTGGAGGATTGTAAATCTTGGACCCGTTGCATATTTTCAAGGGTTTTATAAAGCAATGTGATTTAACAGTACTTGGCCTGCTGCTTCCAGCTTACTGTGTATTTGAAGCTAGATGCTGTCATGGTGTTGAAAGAACATGGATTCTGTTTGGGATATGCACTTGGTTTCCCTTCAGAATCTTTCTTCCCATTATTACCCTGTGAAGAATAAAATCGGGACCCACTTGTGAGGACACCCTCTCGAACAATCACCTCACCAGCCCAGTGTTGTGGCTTTGTAGCACACCGTTATCTCCCATATTCTAGAACACTGTAATGCTACTAGGCTGGCTCAGAAAAGGTTTAAATATTAGTTCACTTGAATTGCATTTGTTGCACCATTATGGAATCTTGTTTTGTACCATTTATGGTGGCAGTAGAATCCACGGTCCATCTATAACAAACCTGGGTCTTGGTTAATGGACCAGTTTATCCTCAGACTGTAGGAGTAATTTCTTGGTCTTGAGACCGGTGTTTGGGTTTTTCTTTTAGTTATGTATGCAACTGCCTTTATCACACCTGGTTATCACAATTCAACTCTCAGGTGTTGCAGAAAATCTACCTCTTTCAGACTGTAGATGGTAATAACTGTGAAAAAGATGCAGATATCTTCTAGTTTGTGCTAAACACACTGCTTTATTTTTACAGCCCACGTCTCTCATGAGGATACGAATTGTTAAGAGGCAGTCTTGTTTTGCTTTTCAAAGACATTTTGTAGAGATTTTTCACTAATGTGAATCTGATTTTATCTACTCAATTCTGTATAGCTTAAGTAAATATGTATGATAAATTTAGTCTTTGTGTATTTTTTGCTACCCTTGTGTCCTTCCATTGTGTGAGAAGCACGAAGCTCGAATACTTGGGGATAGCTTTTCCAAGGTGGCGGTCGTAACAACCCTCAAATTGGTTGGGGCTTTTTTCAAACAGCTGGACCTCTGGTTGTCCTGCCGTTAAGGCTTTTGAAAACAGTCCAGGTTCTCTATCAAGCTGGCCTCACTCCATCCAAGTCTACCTATTTAGAATAAGGAGTATACTTCGATACAAAAGGTCTCGGGTGCAAAAAAAAGTGTAAACACATACAATCCTGTAAAGAGGACTCAGCATAGCTTGCTTTTTTGGCAAATAAGTAATGCATGCCAGGTAGAGGCAAACTAGGAAGCTAGCTCACCTTGACCAAACCCCGCAATAGAAGCAAACTTTCATTGTGGGGTAAAGCAAGCCAGGGTTTTAAACTAAGTGAGGACTAAATAGGATATGGGTCACAGTAAACATTTAGTCCAGGGGACTAATGGGCCACCGAATCATCAATCTTCACAATGCTGAAAACCAAAACTAGATGGTGCCCACACATCTAGGACTACCACCTGCTCTGGAAAAGAACCTATTACAAGGTTCTGCTCTGTAGCCTTCAATTCACCATAAAATAATAGTGTCCCCTCACCCCCATTTTGGATTAGGACCATTTGCTCTGGAGAGCAGGGGAATGCCTTTCCAATGTATGTACAATTGCATCTTATGGAGGAAAACAAAATTTATACCAAGTCAACCTTCACCCGTTTCTACTAAAGTGGAATTGTATGCACATACAATTAAGTAGCATGCTTGTAAAAGAACAGTACAAGAGTTATTTTAAAACTTTATTTTTGCAAAGCCAATCAAGAAGTGTTGGGAGGGGAAAAAAGTGTAAAAGTTATTTTTGCATATTCAGGAACAGCAAGCACTTAGTTCAAGAAAACAACAAAGACTTCAAACAGTGGAATCAAAAGGCAGCAGTACCCTAATTACTTGGATTTGAAAATGAAGGTGATGCTCTCTTAAGTAACATTCAGCTTTCTTCCCTAATAGCTACAATATGATACAGAATGCAATAGCTCACTTGAAAGTGCTAGAATCAAGGGTAAAGAATGCCATGCCACCCACTCGGGTTTCCTACTATACAATGCCGTTCTGGCGCTCAATAAGGCAAGCATTCATGGAGCATTCAACAGAAAAATTGCTCTGGCTCGCTTTAAGATCCTTGCCCCTCCAGTTCCGATGTAGCGACATCCGACTCTTCATCATTGTAGATATTCTCAGCCTGGAGAGAAGCACCAAATAAACATGTTGGTAAAACACCTGTGCACAGTCTTTCTAAGAGCAGTTGTGAATCAAATTTGAAAAAAAAAAAATCAAATTTGAGAATCCTGTCTGACCAGACTTTAGGACTCACCGATTACTGTTTCAATACCAGGACATAGTCACCGGAGAGTTTACTGGCCAGTTACATTTTGTAGACTTCCCATCAAATATCAATAATTGGATGGGAAAGATAGGCTAGTCTCAAAATTTAGGAGGTCCCCCAACACTGCAGGAACTGTGCCCAATCTGACTCCGTCACACGGGCGAAACGCTGAGGGCATGCAACAGAGCAGCAAGGGGAGCAAAGTAATGAAGTCCCCGGGGAATAACCAAACAGACTGGCGAGACAGTGTGGCATCCCGATCAGACTTGACTAGAAAACACTCATAAAGGCCAACAAATAGACCTTGAACTATTTATATAGGCTTTTCCATTTTTGTCAGTGGCTTTCTTTTATTTCGTTTGTTTTTTTGTTATTGTTTTGTTGGTTTTGACTTCCTGTGTTGTTTTGTTTGGCATTGCCTGGTTATTGTGATTAATGTCTCTGCATGTCTACCTAGATAAAACGAGGGATAAACAACTTAGAGGCAATAATAACAGGACTGATGGTTCTGGGGAGATAACAGGAGAAGGAGAGGTGGAAGAAATCAACCCAGGGACAAGGGAACAACAAGTGAATTAAAATCAATGGAGAGAAGGGTGTAGAATGCCTACTGGGGCTTAATCAAGGGCAATGTAGTAGTGAGGAATTACAGTACCCTAATGAAAGCCAAGCATGATAGTGGGACAGGGGGAGACTAAAAGGGAAGAAAGGAAAGAACCAGGAGGCAATGGACATTTATAGAACAGGCATGTCCACACATAAATATGCTTTTATTGAACGAGGGGAATAGATCTATGTACGTAAATCTTTATGTTAAGAATTAAGATTGCAGATGGGCACTGGGCCTCGACTTAAGTACTCCCTCAACTCAAGAACGCTGTTCTAATAATCTGACATTTTACGATACTCACCTTCCCGACAAGATTGCTGAAGACAAATGGGTGCATAAGCAAATGAGGTGAAGAAAGCTGATGGAGCCCGGCTATCAAAAGGTTTAGCATCTGGGGTCTTAAAGGCTTGAAGATAAGCAAGCGGCCATCTAATTGAGAAGCAACAAAGCCCACATGGAAGAAGCACACCAGCCTGTGTGATCATGAGGTGTTGAAGGGATCAGGTATCAGGCATCAAAGTCCCAAACAAAATGAATGGGGGTGGAGAGGGCGTAGAATAGAGACCCAAAGCCCATCTGATACAATTGGACATCCCCTCACAGAAGGGTCACAAGAAGAGATAAGCCGGTCAGGGTACAGTATAGCACCGATGAAACACAACTTTCCCCTAGTTCCTTAATGCTTCTTTCCCCCATCGTGACCTCAATTCTACCTTACAAATTGGATTAGACTAGAACATGCACACTGCTACAGATAAGAGCCTGAAACACAGGGAATCCAGGACACATAAACCCGTCAGGGCCAATAATGAGAATAGAGATACCAGAATGATAAGGGAGAAAGGGGAGAATCAATCAAAAGGATCAACATATAACCCCCTCCCAAGGAGACAGACAACAGAAAAGTGGGTAAAGGGAGACAGAGGATGATGTAAGATGAAAATAATCTATAACTCATCAAGGGTTTGTGAGGGAGGGGGAGTAGGGCGGAGAAATGGGGAGCTGATATCAGGGGCTCAATTGGGAAGAGAATGCTTTGAACACGATGATGGCAGCATATGTACAAATGTGCTTGACACACTGGTTGAATGTATGGATTGTGATAAGAGATGTAAGAGCCTCAGATAAAAGTATTTAATTAAAAAAAATTTTAGGAGGTCCCCATGTTACTTAGCTACTGACACCCTACGTTTTGCACCTGCCAGCAGTGATAGCCTGGCCCTGCTGAAAGGGTTCAGTAGCAACAAAAGATCTTCAAAAGGTCAAGTGCTTCATGCTGACTGCCTTGACATTTCCTTTCCGGCCATGACAGCAGACAAGGCACCATGACTACTATCCAGTCATCAACACTGGAGCCTAAGCAGCACCTGCGCTTACACAGTTAGAGCCAACAGCCTTCTCCCCACCTGCAGATGCCAGAGATGCTGGAGAACAGATGTCCTGGTATCGAGCTAAAGATTGTAAACACTGGGTCTAATTAGCACCTGCACATTAACACAATTTCTGCCTGGATCACCAGTAAACTAAGTTCTCAACTGGGGGATGGGGGAAGGGAACATTTTTGCTCACCATTTGCCATATTTGCATGATATTATCCTCAGACACAGAGCAAATCACCCATGGCTCATTGGGATTCCAACTGAAGTCGGATATCTTGGCAGTGTGGCCTCCATGAATAAACTGTTAAGAACAGAAAAAGCAAAAACAAAAAACAGAAAAAGCCTTGTCTCATACATGGTTATGCTAACACAACCCTTACATGCATTAAGGAGTTTTAATGGTTTAAGTTTGTTTCATACTGGTTGTGGTGGGGGTCCCCAGGGGTTTGGAGGAAGAAGGTACAGATCTGTCTCTGACCACTCTGCAGCAGAGGTGATAAGGGATTCATTCACTAAAGAATCATGTTTTGCTATATCTGCTTTCTTTGTGCAGCCATGTGGTACACAGGAAAACCCATCTGTGTTTTAAATTGTACCAAAGGTTTGTGGTACATCTGCCTCAAGCAAACCTAATAATGGTGCCATTTTCAACAGTGAGTGCCCACTCTGCCACATTTTGGTCCTTCTCACAGTATTTCCAACTTTTCCAGCATGCAGCTGAACACTTCAGAGTGGACAGTATAATTTCTTGCACTGGGAAACTAAAATGAAAAAGAAAAATCGTGCGACCCACTTTATTGGGCTGGGGCAGAGGCCTGGAACTTAGCCCGCACCATTCCCCGGGTCTGCCTGTCCACTTTCCTATCATTCTAGCCAAAGAGTTTCTGGTTCATGTTACACAGCCCCCGTCCCCCTCCGCCATCCTGAAACATATTTGAAATGGAGGCCCTGGATGGCAGGTGAATTCTCTCAATAAAGCTGTTAGCCAAGTAAGTAAATAAAGAAATGCAAACAGTTGGAGAAAACGGTCAACCCTGGATCTAGAAACTACTTAAAAACGAAAAAACACAGCTTCTCAATACACCCTGGAAAAGGGAGGCACCCGGCACCGGTTCTGCAGGGCAGCAGTTTGTGGAGAAACCTTGCATTCAACACAGCAGAGCAACACCTGGGTTTACTCCTAAGGGCCTTCTGTTCACCTCTAACAACTGGTGGCCAGCCAGAGCAAAAACTGGTGTCTTGCAAAATGGCAGGAGACCTGGAAGCCTTTGCCTGGAAATACTGTGAGGAGGACCAAAATATGGCAGAGTGAGCACTGTTGGAAAATTGGCACTATTAGATTTGCTTGAGGCAGATTTACCACCCTCTTTAAAAAACTACAGAAATAATACATTGAAACCAATGAGAAATATATACCCACTTTTTTCCAGGATCTCAGACTACTTTTAAGTGCAACACCTTAAAAACCCACTGGGCTGGGAATTCCCTATCAGCATTCTGGAATGTGGCTGACAGCCCCTGCTTGTCTTTTACCATTAGTTAAATTAGAAAGGAATGATCCACTCCGTGATGCCCTGTAGTTACCACCTTCACTTGCTACACGCTACACCTGCCTCTTGCTCTAAAAACACGACTGTGACTCAGTGACCCTATAGGACACAGTACACATGTTCCATTAGGGTCTGGGAAGCAGACAGCCTCATTTTTCTCTCACAAAAAAAGTCAAATGAAGAGCTGCCTGCATTTCCAATAAATGATGAACCATAATCACAGTAACATTCAGAGTGCCCATTTTGAAATCATTTGTAACAGCTAGAACTTGGTGTTCTGCTGTGTGCAGCTTCACCAACAACAAATATGCAGGCAAAATAAGAGCTAGCACATGAAGTTCTGACTCATTCTCAAGATAAATAGACCAATTACGAATAATCCCATCTGCAGCCTGCATTCATCTTGTAAGAGAAAGTCAACATGTACCAGGAGTTCTGGAGGCCCATCTTCCGCATCTTCCGCTGACTGCTCTTCTCCAATTTTACTATAAGGACAGAACACCGTGCTGTGGTTATTGCAATCCCAGAAGCAGAAACGTCCAAATGCCAGTATCCCCACAGAAAGGGCACCTTAAAATGCATGTCGACGCACACATAAAAATACCCAGACCTGCCCAAACCTCAAACCACCTATTTCCACACAGACAGCACTAAGGGCTTCTTTCTATGTAAATTATTTTTGGTACGAGGGCAGAATAGTATACTCCCTACAAATATGCTATGCCGTGTTCACAAGTGAAGCAACAGGAGGGGGCATTAGTATTAAATTGCCAGTAGTCCAAAGTGATATTGCTCATCATCAAATTACAGCCAAACTCTGCTAGTAACATCTGTTGGAAAAGCCGCCCAGAGTCTTTCAAATGATTAACATCTCTTTCTCTCTCTGTCCTTCCATTAAGCTAATCAAAGAAACCCAGATATTGCAGACTGCAACCAAAACAAGTTTCTCTTCCCTCTGTCCTCAGTGCAATTGCTAAATGACTGTTTTGATCCTTCATTTTATCGAAGTGGATTTTCAGTACTAGCCAGCATTTAATGAGTTGTACGAAGGAATTACATAATGCCTGCAGGGAACATTGTTGGCATGTGTAGGAACAATGCCACTGCCAAGTCATACAACTTCCAAACCTTTATGTACTCTACACGCCAACAGCACATTTTTGTCTTTAGTTTTTAATTTGACTATTTTGAGGGGTGGACCTGGGGTCTATATCCTGGGCACAGCTTTGGTTGTCAGCACTACTTTGACATGTTAGTCCATGTCAAAGCACCGAGCAGTTATACTCTAATTATTAGGCTTATTAAAGCACATTAGTCACTTGTTTTTCTAAGTCCTGCATTATGGACTCTGTCTGATTAGCACATTCATGCCATCCCAGTTACCTTAAATCCCACACATTGAGGCGACGATCGGTACCACTTGAAGCCAGAATGGTTTCGTTATGGGGAGACCAGTGGACCTAACAATACACATTTTGAAAATATATTTAAGGAACCATACACCTCTTGATTGATGGACACTGTGCTCATCAGAGGCCTATTTTCTCAGCCCATATCCCCTCACCCCACCCTACCCCCTTGTCCCCACCTTTCAAGTACCCTGAAAGGGCTCATCTCCTGGTATTGCTGCCATGAAGGTCACCTTCCTTAGTCCAGTGGGCTCTATGCCCTTCTCACCACATAAGCACTGAACCTCCTCAAAGGTCAGACTTTGTTGTACAAAATGGACCTCAGCCTGTGGTCCCGCCATGCTGGCATGCCTCCCGCAACTGAAGGGCCCCTGGACTTCACTCTTGAAATGAATTCTAATTTGCAAGGCTTTTTCTTCTACCTCAGAACTGGCCTCTCATAAACTCTCCTCCGTTTATCAATATAGTACAGCTGAGAGGTGCTTTTTAAAAAATGCAGCACCGCATGCCTGCCATATTATCTACAAGGGTATCAAAGGTATCACCTTTCCCTTACCAAATGGTTATTGAAATCTGACATACAAATACCAGGAAATGGTTACACACCTGGAAAATCTCATCTTTATGCGACTCGAAGGTGTGGAGTTTTAATTTTAAATTACGCAGATCCCACAAAGCTACGGTCTGAAGAAAAAAGGTCACAAATGAAAATGAATTGATTTCTGGTCATTTACAGAAAGCAAGGTTAAAACAACAGCTGGTAAAAAAAAACCAAGACATCTGCGTTTGTAAACACCAATTGTGAAAAAACTTCCAAAACCTTATCCGCTGAGCCTGTTGCTAGAATGAACTCGCTGTAGGGGTTGAAGGACAGGCAGTTGACCTCGGCTGTGTGGGCATCCACCAAGTGGCTTGGCTTGGAGGTGGTGTTGGACCTGGTGTCCCATCTAAAACACAAGACATAAAGCCCGTCCCTATGAGGAAGAGTGGGTGTCTGGCCCACCACCCCAGGTTGCTGCTCTAGGACACAGCATCACCCACTCACCCTGGTGCCACCTCAGGAGCCCACCTCCAAACATTGGCCAAGCAAGCAAGGACTGGGAGATTCACACTCCCAGCAGTCCAGTGACACATTCTAACCCGAGCTGTGATTTCAAAGTATAGACTTTTAGAGAAGAACCAAACCATTTGACCCCTACAACCAAGACTTTGCTGGTTCTCTTGGCCTTGGATTTTTTTTTTTTTTAGGGTAAAAAAAAGAGCTGAAGCAGTTGGACGCAGCACAGGGCCATGCCCGGATCCAAGCATAGCCCCCAATACCCTCAACTGAAGTCACCCAGACCCCAACTTTGGGATCTGTCAAGACCAGACAGGCTTCTTCATGGTCACAAGTGGTTTTCTTGATTTAAACAAGCACCGTCTTGCTTCATACAGCACAGCACCTCCAGCCAGAAGGTCACGAGGTACACCTGTGAAACTTAAATATCACTACACCTGTGAGGCCTGGCTGCCTTTTTTTTAAAACAAAGGCCATGATGTAACTCGGAAGAACTCAAACCAGAGTCCACACCCATTCCATAAGGGTCATTCAGGGCACCTGTCTCTGTCCCCGACCCGTCCACCTTACATCATAAGCTTCTGGTCATCGGCGACGGAGCCAAACAGAGACTCGTGGAGCAGGTGCCAGGCCACGTCTTCCACCACAGCTGAATGACCAGTGAAGATTGCTTTCGCATCCACAATTTTGCCTTCCTTTGGTCCTGCGTTGATATCCCATAAGCAGACAGTCTGAAGGAGGAAGGGGAAAAGAACGAAGGCAGCGAGAATGAAGGAAATGGCATGCAGAAAGCCAAGTATCCAGCATCCTTCTCAATTGCACAACACAGCACCAGGAGCTCACTAGTTCATCGCTGAACACCCACCCACATCCTACAACCCAGCCAGGGCCGGGACAGACTGGTAATCAAGAGTACAAAACCAAAAAGGGGCCCGCCATAAGGAGAGAAGAAAGCTGGCTTGGATGGGTCTCTCTCACTTCAAGGCAGAAATGACTAGCGCTATCAGGGCACCATTTGGAGATGACACTGGCCCCCAAGTCCAAGGAGAGCACACGGAAATGAAGAGAAAGCCCTCGGTTCTTATGGGAAAAGGCGGCAAAGCGAGCAGGCAGCCATTCTCACCCAGTGGCTTAATGTTAGGAGGCAGCTCCAGCTCCATTAAGGAGCAGTAGCATGAATTTTGAATTCCACTGACTGTGGTCTGAATACCATCTCTTTTACAACCACTGTCTCTGAAGAGCTTTCTGGAACAAAGTTATTTCTTGGTAACTGTCAACTTTATACAATACACATGCTCCAGTTATCTCTATTGTAACTGTAGGCTGCTGGGCCCATTCCCTGCTCCTAACAAACTTGCCAGGCAGAGGAGAAATGCTGCCGTTTCCTAAGCTGTAGGAGCCCAGGACAGGAGCCCAGTGGCACAATGGGTTAAGCACTTAGCTGCAAATGGAAGAAAGCAGTAGCAGTGTGCTTCCATAGAAATGAAAGCCTTGGAAATCTTTGGGGGCTGCATTCCTCTGCCCCAGGGGGTCACTGCGAGCCAGAACCCCCTTTGCTGGCATACAACTACCACCACTTGTTCTTTTTGCGTGAGTTGCAGGGGAGCTCTATGGTGTAACATTTTGGTTAACAGGCACTTAAAACACTCCTCGGATGCTACACCAAAATCCAAATACAGAATCTGCAAACACTGGAGGAGAAGGAGGAATAGGAGGAAGAGGAGGAGCCCTAGTGGTGGAGTGGTTTCACATTTGGTTGCCAACCACAAGGTCAACAGTTTGAAATTGCCAGCTAATCCCAAAAAAGATTAGCTTTTTATTCCCATCAAATAGTTAGTCTGGGAGACCCACAGGGGGCAAGTTCTATCCTGACCTGTAGGGTTGCTATGAGTTGAAACTGACTAGATGGCAGTGAGTGTTGGGTTTGGATTTTGAGAGGATTGCACAGAGCCCCTCCCACCTGTCCCCTGGTCCTGTCCTCATAAAGGATCTGCCTGCCTGGTGCCTGCCACATGGAATGTCCTGGGTCATCGGCTAGTGTACTAGTCTTTCTTGACCAGGTATCTTCACAAGGTCCCACCAACCAGCTGAGGACAGCCCCTCTCCTTGGGAGCTTGGCCACATGTACTTGGAGGGGAAGTTGAAGGAAAATCTTTCTGAGCTACCTGACCCAAAGCCCTTTCCTTAAGTTCTTCTTCTGTTTAAGCTCGCCAGTCAAGTTTTGGTTACATACAACTAAAGAACCTTGACAAGGGCAATCACCTACTTTCCAAATTCCCAACACTAAAAAAAAAAAATTCAACAAAAATATAAGGTGTTGCATGATAGACCCTGTGTCAGATGCTAGGAGGACAGACTAAAGAAGGCAAAGAAGCTAGCGTAACTTAAAATGCCCACCAGGACCAAGACTAACCAGATGCAAATCTTCATGATCAGGCAATAGTTTTTTTTCCTGCTATGGCATCAAAAATATAATCATCAGAAAGAAAACTAAACTGAAATTCACCAAATTAGATTTTGGTGCTCCAACTAACATTGGGGAGAAGACAACACACAGATGGGAAAATTATGTGCAAATCAACTACCCGATAAGGCAGTGTCACACATATACACAGATCCAAAATATAGAAAGAACACTCAACTCGATACACAAATAACCCAATTAAATATTGGACAAAGGAGCTGAACAACCACTTCTCTAACGATGTACAAATGGCCAAGAGGCACATGGAAGGATGCTGCTCCATAGCATGAGCCATCAGGGAAATTCAAATCAAACCACAATGAGATTGACACTCCGCACAGCCCTATAACGGCTATAATCATACAGACAGAAAGTAACAAGTGTTGGTGAGGAAGTGGAGAAACTGGAACTGCTGTGATAATGTGAAGTGATGCCACTGGGGAGCAATCTGGCATAAAAAGTTAATGTCCATAAACCCCACTGGAGGGGGGGGGAATCAAACAACAGAATTTTATGTGAATGGATATATTCACATAAGATATGGCCACTAAGTAAGAGTTCCTGGGAGGTAGGGTGGGGGTGAGAGGGGAGAAAGGAGAGCTAAAATCAAGGAGTTCAAGAAAAAAGAAAATGTTTTTCTGAAACTGATTATGGAACGTTATGATAGCTGTAAGAGCTCCCAATAAAATGATAAAAAAGAAGACTAACATAAAAATGTTAATGTCCACAGAAAAATTGTACACAAATGTTCGTAGTAACATTCACAATTGCCAAAAAGCATAAACAACCCAATGTCCATCAACTGAAGAAGAGATGCACAAAATGTAGCCTAGACTCCCTAGAACAGATCGTCATCCAGTCACAAAAGGAACAAAGTCCTGATCAATGCTGCAATATGAACTGTGAAAACACTAGGCAACCAGAGGTTGCCCCATTGATAAGAAATACCCAAAGCAGGCATAGCTACGGAAACAAAAGGTAGATTAGTGGTCCCCAGGGTCTGGGGCAGCAGTTCTCAACCTGGGGGTTGCAACTCCTTTGGGGACAAATGACCCTTTCACAGTAGTCACCTGATTCATTACAGTAGCAAAATGACAGTTTTGAAGTAGCAACAAAAATAATTTGATGGTTGGGGGTCACCACAACATGAGGAACTGTATGAAAGGGTCGCGGCATTAGGAAGGTAGAGAACCACTGGTCTATGGGAAGGGCCAAGTGAGATGTGCTACTATGCAAAAGGTTTCTTTTTGAGACATGTTAGGAATGTTCTAGAATGAGATGGTGGTAGTCGTACAAATCTTTGAATATATTAAAACACCCAAAAAGGAAGCAAAAATAGAAAAAATAATTTGTAATAATCAGCCCGCCCCCCCACTGTAGCTGTGACACCTTTGTGTCGTCCCCGCCCACCTTGCCTCAATTCTAAAGCTGCTTCAAGAGCAGCTTGAACTGTGACACAGCTGCATGGGGCTATTTTGAAAACCATTGCTCTAAACCGGCGGCAGTGTTCTCACCATCTGCAGCACCAGCAGCATCTTGGTAAACCTTTCCTCTACAGCACTTACCAATGCAGACTGTTCATGACACTCTGTGTAAACCCCGCAAGCCCTACTACGCACTATCCCAGCAACTTAGAAAGACCCTATTTCTCACATGGTCATCAGAAGCGCTGAGGAGATGGCCACTCAAGTTAGAATTCCAGGAGAGACCATAGCCTTCCTTCTGGTGACCTCTCAAGCGAAGATCAGGATTACACTCTCCACTTGGATCTAAGGAAAAATCCAGAACACCATTAAACAACTAAGTAATTATCTGTTTATTAGAACAGGTGGGAGTAGTAAACCCACCCTCTGCCTTCAGTGAGCCACACCATTTACTGTAATATAACATTGGGGAAAGCAGGGTGCAAGAGCAGACCCATATTTGGAAAAGCAGTTCTTGGTGCTTCTTTTTAAATACTCAGTGCAAACCAGGCCTCTTAACATTCAATCTGAAAATCATTTCTTTGTAACCCTGTCGCCCCCCATATTATGCCCAACATAGAAATACTGAAAATAATGCTATCTACAGCCTTGGTGGGTAGTGGTGACCGCACCACATGCCCTCATTAGTCAGTTTGTGGGTCTATTTCTTCCGGGGACAATTTATTTCTTCCAGGGACAGCCAACCAAGGCTGCTAAGTCCTTATCTATCTCCAGGGTAGACCGCAGCCTTAGCTAATCCCAAGGGCATGTGGCCCTCAGAATGTTCTATGTGTTTCTGTCTGGTGAAGCTGTATATGCCATGAGCAATGAGGCCTGCTGTAGCAGCTTCTTCTCAAAACCTGTTAGAGGATTGTTTGGCAAGATTCATGAGGTACCTGACTTTGCTCTTGGGGTCCTGGAGTTTCTGGTACTCTGGCTGGTTGCCCAATAAGTGGTGCCTTCATGACCCACTCCATAAAAACAACTCTGAGACTCAAATGGACTGCCCTGGATGAGACATTTAGCGCATATGCCTGCAGTTGGCTGCTAAGAGAAAGCATGTCCTGGTGGCCCCAGGCAGGGGAGAACCCGAAGCCTGGGCCTGATCTTGCTGGGCACTTCACCTTTTCTTGCTGCCTTTGCTCTGTATCGTGTTGTAAGGAACTTTGGTTGTGGGGTAACCTGCAGCTAAATCTGAACTCTGGCAAATCACTGAACACAGGACCACAAAAACAATTTTAAACCTTCAAAAACCTCCGAGGAGACAACTTTGGCCTTAAAACAACTACCATTTTGAATCAAGGAAAAAAGCCTATTGGTGACACTGTGACTTTACCATCACGTACCAGGTTTAGCAGGATGCTTCGTGTAGTCAAACACCAGCACATCAGAAGATGGGGTTTTCGTTGCGATAATGTGAGGATTCTGCGGCATGTAGCGAGCACGGTTCACTTCTCCTTCATGGTTAATCTTAATTTCACATTCAATTTTCCCTGTTACAGAACCAAAACCGCCAAATTCTAACATAAGAGGAAACAAGCAAACATATACATCCAGGATTAAGATTCACAAGACAACTCAGCTACTCAACAAGAAATTTCGACCCAGTGATGTACTACCTGGGGACACCCCTGAACACACCCACCTGCCACCAGGGGATGGTTTATCCTCAAAGCCTATTTTCATTGGAAAATATTAATAGCTATTTCATGCAAGTCAATTTGGTTCTATCATGGAAGTACAATTTTCTTCTGCTTGAAGGATGATTTAGTTATTTAGTGAAATCTCAAAATAACCACAAATTAAATATACAACAGCTCTTTAGTTCAAAACCAATTCATTTTGAAGCACTGTAGTATCTTAGTGTCTTATTCGAGGTTTCATTAAAACAGAGGTGATTTCAGCATTGGGAATATGAACATGCCTTGAGTCTAAAAGTGAAAACAAAAAGAAATCTCTATTCACTCTCAGCAAGACAACACCTAAAATCTAAATCTCTATTCACTCTCAGCCAAAGGCCAAACAGCCCCACCCCCACCCGGACAGGACATTTGGTTTAACTACTAGGGAACTTCCACAGCAAAAACAAGAGGACCAAGTCCTCCACCTGATGGCATAGCAGGTTACGTATTGGGCTGCTAACTGCAGGGTCAGCAGTTCAAACCCATCAGCTGCTCTAAGTTTTAAAGAGGAGGCTATCTGCTCCCGTAAAGATGTATTGCTTCTGACTCCCTAAGGAGCAGTGTACTACTCTTCCCTGTAGGGCTACCAGGAGGGGATAACCTCGCCATCTGGCTTATAAACCAGACTACAGTCTTAAATAGTAATGGTCAAAAACAAGTAAGAACCCTCTTGGTAAAGGAACAGAGCCACATAAAAACCCATCAGTGTCCGAGAAGCTGCCAGATGTTAAAAGAAAGTACAAACATCTATACAGTCTGAGCAAACAGGACCCAGCCATCTTAGGAATTTTCAGATGCTCTGCTCTGATTTCTCCTTGATCTAACCAGCACCTTTCTGATGACCTGTTGCTTAGCTCTCCCTGTATTCCAGGCCAGGAAGCACTACTGAAAAACCCAACGCGGCCAGCCAGGTAGCGAGTCAAACCACCTGCTCAGGTGCTGGAAGACAGCAGAAGAGCCAGTGGGTAGGCTCTCTGCCGACCATCTCGGGGGCAAGTGCAGGTCACCAAGTCTCCATATGGCCGCTCCATAAACCCTGTTGTGCAGCCATTCTCAGGACAACCATACCTCCCATTGTCCCAGCACTTTCCTTTGCTTGATCATGCCAACCAAGAGCTTCAGCCTTTATAAGAATCCACCTCTGAATCCTTTCTCCTCATACCGAGTTCCCCCCCCCCACTCTTTGTGGACTCCAGGGTTCCAAGTCTCTGCTACAAAGCCACACAGGTTTCCCAAGCCCTTTAGCCAGAACCACTTTTTCCTAACCACGGCTCTCAGTGCAAACTCAGGGCAGATGTGGTGCAAAGCTAGGGCTTTGTATACTTCAACTCAAACAACTCAAAGTTAAAAGTCATTACATTAATGGGAAAAACAGTACTCATTTTGGAAAGTTACAACCCAAACTAAAATCATGAGGACTGATTTGTTTCAGCCCCGTCAGAATGCAAGGCATGTCCCTTGGAGAACGGGATGAATACATATATTTGTATTATACAGAGACCAATTGTTACCCTGACAGTCCAAGAAGTACCTACTTTGGAGATACAAACATTCAAAGCATGTTGATCACAGTATTTATGGAAAGGATGCACAAAGGTGACACCAACCCCAAATACCAGTCATGCACAAGGGAGTGAAGTGGGTCTTTTTTTTTTTAAACAGTGTTACATTATCTCAAGTTGACAAGGACCATTACATACAGGCAAGGACCACCATGGTAGATGGGCACAACTGTCCGAGAAGACCTGTTGAGGATGTTCACCACAGCCATTTGTAAGAGCAAAGCCACCAGCCATATTCTACCTGACCCTTGGTTGAGAGACAGGATAATAAGTTTACTCACAATGGAATATCACACGTAGTTAGAAGAATGAGCTAGATCTCTACATGGCCCACCTGAAAAATGTTGAATGAAAAGAGCCATAAAACCCTATGTATGACTAAATAATTAATAAAAAAACAACAACTTAAAATGACCATACACCCATTTATAAGTGAAGGGCAGCAAGGAGCAATGGGGTAATGCGTGGTAGAATTTGTCTTTTTTATTCTCAGACAAAAATTCAGGCGTACACTGGCAAAGGTCAGTAACTATTAAATCATGTGGGCGTGAGGAAGGCATAACACCAGAGGTCTGGTCCCCTCCTATTCGAAGGCTACCTGAACTGTGATTGACTCCTGGCCAATTCAGGAAAACACAGCCCTCAGAATGTTCTTTGTGCCACTGATGAACTAATAGCTTTGTAGTGTGCACCTGGAGCACTGGACCATGCTGTACCTGTTTGTCAGGGCTGCTTTGTACCAACATCAAGACTGATACAGCACACCTAGTTCCACTGTTGTGGAGTCCCTCGCCTCAGTTGTCACGGTTGGCTGCTTGTAGGGGGTGGCTCTGGAAGCTGGCCCTCCCCACTGTGACAGCCTCAGGCCCGAAACCCATGTCCACTTTCTTCCCTGCAGCTCATCATCAGAAACAGTACATCCTGTGCAGCCTTGGACACTGAGCCTGGGGCCGGCCCTCCTCTTTGAGCCCATGTATTTTGTCCCTGCTGCTTTTGTCCTCTAACCATTGCTAAAACTAAATTTAGCCAGGACTCTAATTTGCTATTGAGTCTCCTGAAGCTGTAGCAAAAATCACAGAACTTGGGGCAGTCATGAGAATATTAAAATGAAGGTTGAATGTATCTCAGAGTGGGGAGAGGCCCAAAGCTTCCATGGTTATCCCTACCTCAACCTCCCATCCATTTTCCCTTCTGGAACACCCACTATGAGCTGGGTAGTGCAGAAAGCCAGCTCAACTTTTACAAATTCAACCACTGTAATAATGGGAAATTCTGGGAGGAGGTGCAATTAACAGGAGCAAATCCTCAAAGGCTAAAAGGGACCATAAAGTGCTGTTTACACTGCATTAGGTATTTTGAGTGAGTTAGACTTAGAGCACACGGGATGGTATGGACACAGGCTTTATGAAAATACACCACACTTACAGATGGGCCTTGAGCATCTGCCTTTCACATTCAGGGTCCTGAAAACAATTTCCCAAAGCTATCAAGGGACCACTGCATATGACTCCTGGTTTTGTTTTCCATGCATATACCAATCTTGATTACTTTTTAAAATGAACTATTAAAATTATACATTGGGTAAATTCCTGAGATTAACTGCTGGGTCAAAAGATTAGTATAAAGTGTGTTTTTCTTCATTTATTTTGTGGAGAATATACGCAGGAAAACATACATCAAGTCAACAGTTACTACACGTCTCGTTTAGTGACAACTGACCATTCTTTGAGTTTTGCAAATATTCTCTTCCTTTTCTGAGTTGTTCTCCCCCCCCATTAATATATCAACACTCCCATCCAGGTTCACTTCTTTCCATTTGCTGTGGTCAAGGTGATCCCACAGAGATCTAAAAAAGAACACAATGCTCAAGGCAGCCTTTTAAAGAATTAGTCAAGCTAAACAAAAGGTACTGCTTGGTTTTAAGATGACTTCAGAGAATATTTTTGGTTTATGGTTTGAAGATCAACTCAGGGTAACAGTTTCAAGGGTTTATCCACCCCCTCCATGACTCCAGAATGTCTGGAGTCCATGAGAAGTTGAAATTCTAATTTGCCTTTTCCCCCTTAAATTGTCCTATGTAATCTTTGATCAGAATGTTCAGTAGTGTTAGGTGGGCACCATCTAGTTCTGGTCTCAAGGCAAAAGAGGCAGTTGGTTCAGAAAAGGCCATTAGCCACATTCCTTACTTTTAAGGCCCCCAGGCATTAATTACATAAAGGAGGCAAAGCAGAAGCACTAGCTATATTAGGCCAACTAACTGTTATGTCCCATGAAACCCTGACTCTACCTCTTCTCTCAGGCTCCAAACCAAGAGATGTTTCATTATATGCCAGTATAAAAACATTAAAATAGAGATTCTTAGCAAGAAGCATACTCATACTGCCTTCAACACCAGTATTAGAAAATATGCTGTACCTACCTCCCTTCTCACTGTCACAGTGGGAAGCATCAAACTGGGCATCATCATTCGGAATATGCACTCGAGCAACCACTAAGTGATTCTGCTCATCAGAAGTGTGGGTCCCCAGCACTAGCCAATGAAGAGCATAATCTTTTCCTTCTGGTCTGTTTAAAAAATGAAAATCCGTTACACAGACCCTACAAGAAACCTTCTGTTGCTTTGCTAACAAATCAAGTCCAACCCTCCCCCAATACAAAGGAGCTTCACAAAGTTCATGGCATATGGCATTAAGCTTACTGAAGTCCTCTTGCCCACTATCATTTCTTCGAGAAATACATACTGAGCATCAACTGTGCACCAGCCTCCCACTGTCGAATGTTCTGATCTCTGCCCCACCTCCTATCCCCAGACCACTGTGGTCACAACACTTTCTTCCACCCTCAAAGAGCCATGTTCCTCGCCTACCAAGTATCAAGAGGAGCCCTACATTTTCTAGAGTATCTTGTTGGGCAAGGTAGAACCAGATAGGAGTCCATTCACCAAAGCCCACACTCAAATCATGACTTCTCATCTAAACTCTCTTGACTGTGTTATTGGGTACTGTCAAATCAATTCCAACTCATAGAAATCCTTGAATAGGGCAGAGTAAAATAGCCCCATAGTTTCCTGGGGAGCAGGTGGTGTGCTGTTTGCAGTGCCAACCGAGGTTTAGTTGCTAAAAGTGCCCCCAGCGTTCCTCCTGCTGCCCACAGCCCCATTTTAATTCCCTGGGTTTCTAGTCCCGGTATTAAGACTCAGAAAATATGGAAGAGTCAGAAAAACTGGGTGTAATCCCAGTTCAAACTGAAAATAGCTATATGTGAGTGCTTACATGACAATTTTCCGGCAAGCTGCATCATCTAGTTTCATCACCTAAAAAAATGGTTTACAAGTACAATGTGGCCATCCCTTATGTTTATGGTGTTTAGAGGCTATGCAATTTCTCAGATTTTTTGAGGTCTTTGTTACCTGGTTGTGTCTTACACTGAAACTGAAAAGTCTATTAATACTGACAGCCAGGTGGCATAGTGGTTATATGTTGGACTGCTAACCGCACGGTCAGCAGTTCAAACCAACCAGCTGCTCCTGCTCGAGAAAGGCAGGACTTTCTACTAAAGAGTGACAGCCTTGGAAACCCACAGGGACAGTTCTACCCTCTCCTACAGGGTCCGTCCTTAAGAGTTGGAATGGAATGGAAGTAGCAATATCATGAAGGTTTAAGGGGATGGTCGGGGGGGAAGGGGAAGGGTGAGAAAGGGGGAACCCATCACTAGATTACATATATAAAACCCCCTCCCCCAAGGGAACAAATAACAAATGTGGGTGAAGGGAGACAATGGACAGTGTAAGATATGAAATAACAATATATAATTGATCAAGGATACACACGGAAGGGCTCAAAATAGAAAATGTTTTGGAAATCATGGCAACATATGTACAAATATGCTTGATACAACAGATACATGGAATGTAATAAGAGCTGTAAGAACACCCAATAAAATGATTTAAGAGTTGGAACGGACTCAATGGCAACTAGAGTTTGAGTTTTGTTTGAGACAGCCAGGCCGGAATAATAACTTGGCTTATTTCCAGGATTTTCTCATTTATGATCCCCACAATCCCCAGCAATCTTCAACAGTGTGCTAGCGCCCCACCTCAGTGAGAAGGCTGACAAGTTGGGTTCTGGGCCCCAACACCAGACACACTGGTCCTGTGATACAAAGGATTCAGAATCTGAGGTGGCTCTCAGAACGGTAATTCCATCTTAGATGTCTGCACTATAAAGGGGAAAAGAGCATGCGCAAGCCAAGTGGGCAGAAGGTCTCTTGCGCTGAATTTTAACTGGCAAAACCACTTAGGAAATTAAGCTCCAGGAAATATACTTGAGGAGGACCAAGTAAGATACAAAAATAATAATCTGTAATTTATCAAGGGTGAGGGGGTGAGGGAGGGAGGGAGGGAGGGAGGGAGGAAGGGAGGGGGGGTGGGGAGAAGCTGATATCAGGGGCTCAAGTGGCAAGTGGGAAGAGAATGCTTTGAAAATAATGGCAGCATATGTGCAAATGTGCTTGACACACTGGACGAATGTATGGATTGTGATGAGATGTGAGAGCCCCCCATGAAAGCATCTCATTAAAAAAAAAATCTAATCTAAATATCACGGTCATAGGAAAATATACTACTCAAATAAATCTGAGATTTTATAAGAAAACAAAACTGCATCAAAGGTAACATTTTTAAAAGGTCTTCCATAAGCGGCTAACATGGAAAATTACATAGTGAATAGAGGCATACCTATCCCTAACCAGCCATTGGGTGGGGGTAGGGAGAGATGACGGTGACGGATGACTCAGCATCAGCTGCCATCACCTGTGCCTACATTACCCAGACTCTCCAGGAGCCATGTTATAATTGCTTGCAAGGTTAGCAGTTCGCAATCACCAGCTGCTCTGCAGGAGAAAACTGAGGGTCTCCATCCCATAGCCTGGGAAACTTGTACAGTCAAGAAACCCATAGGCGAAGTTCTACCCTGTAGTCGATGCCCCAATCAACTCTATGTCAGGGAATTTAGCGTCTCCATGGACAACTCGCCTCAAGTCACAAAGCTAAGAGGAAGCAGAGTCAGATTCCAAAACAGGTCTCTGACTTTAAAAACCCCTGCTTTTCTGACTTTAAAAACCCCTGCTTTTCTGGCAGGTGAGTGTCAGGCTGCTAACTAGAAAGTTGGTAGTTCAAACCCACCAGCTGCTGTGGAGTTAAAAAAAAAAAGGCTATCTGAAAGATTTAGTCTCAGAATCCCTATATATGATACTTGATGAAAGTGGGTGGGTTTCTCTACTAACTCACAGTAAGTCAAGAGGTCCAAGAGAAGGTAGGTGGTTGAAAAGTTTTAAATCTGCTTTAAAGAGAGAATTAAAAGCACAGCATGCTCCAAGCCAGCATCCCATCACGATGCTCTTTAAAAAAAAAATCACTTATGCCAATGCTTCGAAGTCCCTATTATTAGGTTCTTGGCTACTCTTCCCAGACCTGAAAGTTTAACCCTTAGTTTTCCATTGGGATGTCCTCATCTGGGTAGAACTCGATGTTTGCATTCAGGGAACTGAGGCATTTAAGAGTCAATTAATTTCACATGAAATTATAATCTGTCTCACACACACACACAAAAAAACCTTTCTGGATTAGTTTGATTTAAGATGCACTGTCTGAATCCAATGCACTTTGAAAAATACTTATATGGCTAAGGTCCAGACAGAGATGGGCTGAGTGTATGAGAGGCTGACAGACTGGTCTGGGTTCTCCAGCCCACCCCTCCCCCTACTTACCTTATCAGCAGAAGGGAGATAAAGACTGGATGTGCTGGTGGTGTGAGGATTAGAGCAAATAATGGATGCACAACTCCTCAAATGGGACAAGCCCTGTTCTGGCTGTTTGAACTGTCTGATTATTACTCAGGGTAATGTCAGAACTAGCTGGAAGGATGGCCCGCTTTCAGGAAGACAACCGGTAATGTCTGAAATGAATTCCTTACCATAAACCACTTAACACCTTTTCTTCGGTTAACTGCTGCCAAATTCTTTCTTCAATCGCAAATTTAAGTGTTTGTCTCAAGTGGCAGTTACATGGTGTGTTCACATTATAAAAATTCTTAGGGCCATCTTGATCGTCAATAAAGTTTTGTGGAAATGCATTAGTCTGATGATATAACAAAACCCTAGAAATGTCAAATACCTTCTGTGTTTCCTACCAACATTATAAATTCTGTAACAGGCTTTTACTCCCCTTGGAACAACTCAATCTTAAAAATACAAACCACCTATCGTTTCAGGAAAGGGCTACATTTATCACAGGCTCTCCGAATACAATGCCCCCAACTAGAAAATTCACAAGGACAGTTAGGCTTTATGTAAATTTTTAAAAGTTGTCAGAAACCCTTACTTAGTCACTTCAGGAAGCCACTGAACCGTAAGACTTGGCCACTGAAGAGCATGGGTCATAACCAGGTCATACAGAAACGGTGTATTCTTCTTCCAGATTTTATATTCTTCATTGATGACACGCTCCTCCACAGTATCTTCAAACACTGAGATTTGCAAAAAGACCACACACGATTAAGCGGCTGAGCGCTGGAAGCCATAATTTGCACTGCTACAGGAGGTCGTCTGAGATGGCCACACCTTATCAACTCGCGCCCCCCCCCCCGTCCTTGAATTGGGACACGGGAACAACAAACTGCATCTCCAGAACGTGGAGCGAATAGTAACATCAGGAAGCTGCCTTTTTATTTATTTTATTTGCGCGCTCATTTTGAGATCGGTACCTCCTCCGCATCTACAGAATTCGGTAATTTACCGGGCCTTCAACCCGCGGCCAAAATGACAAATTGTTGGGCCTCTTTCGGCTGTTCGCACCTGTGTCAACCCGTTGGGGAAGAGAAATCCGCACGCAGCCGACAACCAGAGGCCCGCTCCCGGCAGCCCCAGCAGTGCCAGGCCCGTCTCCCACGACGCCCGCGTGGGCAGCCATAGGCCCGGCTGCTCCCGGAACCCCGCGGCCCTGGGCCGCAAC